AATTTGTTACATACAAGGACCTACCATTGGAGAAATTAACAAATTGCTGCATACAACGGGAAGGTGCAGTTATGCAGTTTATTGAAGTTTCTTGCTCCTGAACTTGGCTGGATAGAAAGTTTACAATAAGAGCTTCTAATTCCTGCAACTCGGAAGTGTGTTTAAATCCATCGGAAACCACAAAAAAAGGCTAAAGATCTAAGCAAATCAATCTTGGCAAGGTCTTGGACCCCAATACAACCTCCTTTTCTCTCGCCTCACTTGAAATAATGCATTTTGTTGCTCTTTTGGAATTCCTGCAACCAATTTTTGTGTAGACAACATTAAGAAATGCAGAAAAGGGGTTCAAGAATGCCATGTAGGAGATGACATTGGCAGATGAATTTTGGTGAAATCACTGACTTCATTAGGATCCTCTCCCTTCTCATCTCTCCAAACTTTGGTAATCCACCCAAAAGAGGGAAAGATTGCGATTTGCACAGCAAAGAAAAAAAGAAAAAGAAAAAAAAAACGAGAATGCTGAAGAGAAGAAATGCCGACGAAGAAGAAGAAGCCGAATGAAGAGATTATGCCTAGCGATTGCCAAAGAAGAGGGAGGAGTGGCTAGGCAGAGGATGTGAACGAGGGGAAGGGATATGCGAACGGCAGATGCGAACGAGGGCAGCGGAGTAATAGGACGCCAATGAAACGCGAGATGCGGGCATCCTCCTGCAGGCAGCGTCATTCACAAATAAGAAACGTCGTTTTTGGATAAGTTATTAAAACACGCGAAACAAACATTAGGGTGGCGTTTTCAAAACGCCACCCACACTTATAAGCTGCCCCAAACAAGCCCTAAAACAATTGGGCTTAAATCTATTCAATGCTTAGGGGTCCTAATTGATAGCCTATTGATCTCTCAATTCATGCCTCTAACTCTTGAATCATTTAAGCTCTTACTTTCTCCCAATTACAATTTTATCCTTCTAATGTAAAAGAAATGGTGAATGGTTTGCTACCCTATTTCCCCTTTAGGTTTCAATCATTTAAATAGACTAAATATCATTTTTTTTTAATTACCTCCCCTTTCTTTTTATTTTATTTTTTTAAGGCCGTAAATCAATTCTAAAAATAATTAAATCAGAAATTCATTTTTAACTTAACCGTTAGCAAGAAAAAGAAAACAAAACCAGATCAGCGAAGGAGGCCTACCCACTTAAACAAAATCAACAAAGAAAAGAGCGAAACAGCAAGGGAATCGGCCTAAAAGGGTTTAAATTCTTTAAAAAAAAACAATAATCAAATCAACTCCCAAAACATCAAGTAAATCAAACTCGAAAAGAGCATTTGAAGTTTTCAAAACAACGAGAATATAACATTTAAAGCAACGTAAAAGTAATGTTTTAAGACTTCCGATTTAGCATTTAAAAGACGGACCCAATGAAACAATTTAAATTTTCAAACTCCAAAGACTTTCAAACCTTCAAAACTCAAAACCGTTACAGATTCAAATTTTCCCAAAAGAGAAATGAGGCGTTTTAACGCTCCCAAAATGGTAGACGAATCAAACCAAAAGTGGTGCAAGTTCCTTCCATAATTTTCTCACATTTGCCACTTATGCAAAAAGATGCATTTCAATCTACAAGGTAATGAAGAGTTTGAGTTGCAAAAATATAGAGAGTAAAGTTCAAGCATTGGACTGGAAAACATGAGCATTTTATAATATGTGTGTAACTTTTCCAATAAACTTGTAAGAATGAGCGTTTCCCAGCATCTACCACAAAGGAAAAAAAAAAAAACTATGGCTCCTGTGATTGAGGAAAAGAAACAAAGGCACATGGGAGGCACTACATATATATGGGAATTTCCTTACACATGTACTCACTTGGGAGCACTGTATCTCTCCAAACTTTCCAAATAGAATATAGAAACTTTCAGACATCTGTAAAAGTAAAGCATCGAAGCTTTCAGATTTTTTGCAAGTAACAAAACTATAACTTTCAGATTTTGCAAATAACACACCTACAACTTTCAGATTTTGCAAATAATACATAGAACTTTAAGATTTTCAAAAACAAGGCAACCAAAATTTTCCAATCATTGCCAATTGCACATGAAACATTTTAGATTTTTGCAAAAATAAAACACCAAAGTTTTCAGATTTTGAAAAGCAAGGCACCAAAACTCTCCAATCTTTGCCAATTACACATGTAACATTCCAGATTTTTCAAGTATAAAACCCACTTTGATTTCCCTTCTCTTTAAGGATAACAATACTTCAAAGCATTAAGGTTTGAAAAGCTAGCCTTCATAGATACGAACTGCGTTACTCATGAAAAGTGAATGCCACAAAAATCTTATCATATAGCAATTAAAACCTGTAACTTATCCAATTAGACACAAGAAAACTAACATTTTTTTTAGAAAACTAGAAATTTCGAATAATGAAACAAGTTTAACCCAAGCTTACCCAACATTCCTCAACACAAACCAACAAATAGGCAAAGGGACATCCTTCCAAGTCACACACATCTTTTAATCATATAGCTTAACGCATGAACCTCAAGTTTTATATGATTAGGAGGAAGAACCATCCTTAATGCTAAATAGTTCCCAACAATAAACTAAAAGAAAGGTTATTCTTCTCCAAAACTACTACTCTAAACATGATCTATCGAAGTTTCAGGCACATGCAGCCCCTTTCCCTTTTTTTTTTTAAATGATCAAGCATGTAAAGCAAGAAACAAGAAATCTTTCTTTTTAAATTTTTTTAGGCAAAGGAGAGAGGAGGAAGAATCATATCTTGACTAGCTTAAAGAAAGGGGAAGAAGAAGAGTAACAGAAATCTAAGAACAACAAACACTCTAATAGTGAAACGATTTCAACAGCACCTCCCCTCCTTGCAAAAACTCCAACCAACCACCATCCTTACCCTAGGTAGGATTTTATAGGCAAAGGGGAGAGGAGCAGCCACCTACCAGCCCTAATGGTGGCCGAATAGGATGGTGGGAGAGGAGGAGAAGCAATTAGGGAGAAAGAGAAGTAGGCCTCAGGAAGAGGAAGGGTCGACCAGGGCTTCTCGAAGAAGAAGAGGAGGAGTCGGTCGAAGCTTCGCGAAGCTAAGGCTCGCACAAGAGGGAGGCGCACGGGCCAGGGTTCGCGCAAGCCAACTTGTTCGCGAGTGGAAGAGAGGACACTGTTGCGGCTCGGGCAAGAAGCATCAGGAAGATTCACAAATAGGAGAGGGATGCGGGAGCTAGGGCTCGAATAGGGGAGAATCGAGAGAAAAGAGGCATGAGCGTGGGTTTAGGCTTAATAGGGATTTTTTTTCTTTTTTTTTATTATTTTTGTTTTGTTTTTTTATATTAAATTATATTATTTAAATATATTAATTCGCGTGTAATTTATTCTTGCACGGAATCTTAGCAAAATGAATGTCTTTTCCAGGTAATTTCGACGTTCTGGACGCGCCAGCGCAGTCTGTTTCGTCATCCGAGGTCACTCGGACAAGTTCATCGATTTGCGTATAATTTGTTCGTGTGTGGAATTATAACAATATGAGTGTTATTCTTAGGTAAAATTGACGTTCTAGACTAGACGGCACAATCCGTTTCGTCATTTGAGGTTGTTTAGAAAAATTTATCGATTTGCGTGCGCAAATGTACAAAAGTCATAATTGGTTTCCTAAGGTTTTTAAATCCTATGGGAACTCTCTTTGGGCCTCTAAATGCTGGTCCTTAACCACTCGACCAAATGATGATGGTTTGAGACTACCCAGGCGAGGCGCCACAAGAAAATCAGGAAATGCTTCGACTTTTCTAAAAAAAGGTGGGTCCTAGCTCTAGTCCTCTAAGATACTCGATAGAAAACCTTAGAGCTAGATCCTAAGATCTAAGAAGAGGAGAAATAACCTCAAAATGAGGTCAACAAATGTGTATAATTCAATTGCTTGGGATTTAGAAAATATAATGTGATGATTGATTCTAAGGAGCAAGCATTTTTACTCCTGTATTATTTACCTCCTTTTTATAAGAATTTTCATAGAATCATATTATGTGGTGGAGATAAAGAAGGCATAAAGTAGGTTAAGAACTCACTTCTTTCTAAAGATGGAATGACCAAGATGAAAAGTAGGCTATGTGATTATTAACTATAGGGAAATCTTTTGAGGCGCAGTCTACCTCTAATCATGACAGAAAAATCTCCCATGGTATGTAAGATGTGCTTTTCTTCTATTACAAAAAAAAGGGAGGGTGAGCGTATGAAGAGTTATTGTCATGCCTATGCTTTGAAGTGGATGGAGTAGCATGACAATAAGAAGGGCGATTTATGTACATACCACCAAATTCCTATGTATTTAGCATCTAAACTTTAGTTTCTACATTTATACTACCTAAATCTTTCATATCAAATCAAAAACACTACCATTTTAACTTTTTAAAAGTAAAATGCACACTATCATGCATAAATAAGATAGCATATATGTAAAAATTAAAGTTCAGGTATTATATAAGTAAATACATAGGAATGACTGGTATGTATGTAAATCTTCCCAATAATAAACATCAACACAATAAGCCATCATATGTTGCATCACCAATTAGAATGATGATAGTCGCCAAAAGGCCATGCAAAAAGATAAAGACTAACGCAGCTTACATTAAATATCCTTAGTCATTATCTTCATCAATACAAAGAGATATGGACTCAATGTTAAGCAAATGTAATTTTACAATTATTTATAAATTCCTTGATCATTCAGCAGCTACTATTTTAATCCGTGCAAATGAAAACTTATAGAATCTTATGTGCATACATAACAAACTCATTTAGGCGTTTTACGGGTGTCCGAAATAATACTAAGCATATGTGGTAATATATAACAACAGTTACAATTGATTACATGGTATTAAATGAAAGGAAGAATTACATAAGAACCACAAAATTCCATGTAGAAATCACATTTAACCACACTTCTTAAAGAAACTGCGGTAAATATGCCATACAAAGAATCAAGTTACCTGGGAGAGACCTTTGAGTACCGAACCAATGTTTGGAATTGCAAACCAGTACATATTTGGGTCAATCATCTGGCGAGTCTACAAGAGTAAAAAGACTCACATAAACAAACAGATAAATAGATATAGTATGAAGATCCTCAAATACGCTGATCATCATGAAAAATTTTCATGAAACTATTTGGCAGAGCTACCATTGGCCGAGGATCATACATACTGTAAATAAATAGTGACAAAAATAGAAGCTTCAAAAGCCCAGTCCAAGAGTGGCAATTGTTCATCACAACCAGTGCTTTTATAATTAATGCAAATATTAGATAGATTTTAAAAAAAAATTAGAAAAATGTAAACAAGTAAAACTACTATTAGTTTGAAGATTTATGTATTTTATAGCCGCGGGCGACTAAAGAAAGTCGAATTGAATCAGAAGTAGGTTGAAGTGAAACATAAAAACGTGATGACCCTGTAAAGCATTAAAACTTTACATAAACTCATGTAATTGAGTTATTGCAATTAATTACATGATTTGTCTTGTAATAAAAACTTTTCTGCTATCCTCGAGTTGTTTCTTATTGTGAGAGTTGCCAAGCTATGATTAAGTGGGTGCATAGGCTTAGCAGCCTCACTTCCACTGGAACGGTCCTTCATTATTGAGCACTTGTTTAATACCAGAGATGACTAAATAGCATAAAATAATAAAGAAGAGTGCCTATCAAATATCTAGAATGTTGAATCATAAACCAATGCATAGATTGACCTAGAGTGCTTTGGCTACGTAATTCATTGCAATAAATTGTCAGATTTATTCCATATTACATACACACTAAAAACATTGGTATTTACAAAACTGGCACGCTCTTTCATTTTTCAAATTCTCACTCAAATATCAAAAATCACAAGAAAACCCCAACCCATACATTTCATTTTTAATGAATTATCAATGGTTTGATCGTGACACATGTAATGCATTGGTTTGGCAGTTCAAAAAAATCAGATGGGTGCTAATTTTGCAACAGCAAGGTTTCAAGTGCTATGTATGTAATTATCCCTTCTATATTTTATATGCTTTAAAGCGAGAGCATAATAAAATGAGATGGATCTTGAAAAAAAGAAACATGATATAAGATTAAGTTTATCCAACATGAATGTTAGAACGCATCTATGTTCTTTCAGTGTTTGGTCCAATTTTGCAAGGTTTCTGTAGGTTTTTAGAGAAAAATAATTATTCCTTCTCAATTTCATAGAGAATGATTTGAAGATAAATAGAGAGGGATGACTCCAACAATAGGAAAATAAAAAAATCAATTATAACTCTTCATAATAAAAGAAGGAAATCAAAATTATGTCATATCAATAATTATGAATCCTAAAAATAGAAAATACTAATAATAGAAGATACTAAGAAAAAAATCTTCCTAAGAAAATCTAACATTTCCCCTTAAGTTGTAGCATAGATATTTATCATGCCAATTTGCTTACAAGGAACACAAAACTATGCCTGAAAAGTTTTTTGGTAAAATTATCAGCTATTTGTTGCGCTTTCGGGGTGAAAGTCATACAAATAGCTCCACAATCAATCTTCTTTTTCAAGATCTTCTCTTTCAAGAAGTATCTATCAATCTACACGTTTTTGCGAGATCATGTTGCATTGGATTTTCTAATATGCTTATGACAGCTTTATTGGCATGTTGATCGGGATTTTTAGTTCTTCATAAATTCTTTTCGGTCATAACATCTCACATACTCCATTAGCCATAGCTTGATATTTTGCCTTAGCAACACTACACTTTACTACCACATTATGTTTCTTGTTCTGTCATATAACTAAATTTCCCCAGACATAAGTATAATATCCAAACATTGATCTCCTGTCAACAACTGAGCCCACTCTGTTTGCATAGGTGTATGTTTCTATGTTTTGTTGTGTGGTTTTTTGAAAAAACAAACCCTTACCTATTGTATATTTTAGTTATATAAGAATCATATTAACTGCTTCAAGATGTTTCTCAATGGTTGAATGAATAAATTGATTAACCAAATTTACAGCTAGTTGGGTATGTAATCCCACCAACTTTTGATATCGAGTTGTATCCACTGAGCAGCCCTCCTCATCTCCCAGTATCAAATTGAGATCAATTGGAGTGTATGCAGACCTACAACCGCTCATCCCTATTCTCTTTAAAAGATCAAGAACATATTTATGGTTGAAAAAAACAATTGCTTACTTTGATCAAGCAACCTCCATGCCAGGAAAATACCTCAAAGATCGTAAGTCCTTGGTCTCAAAAACTGATGAAAGGTAAGTCTTAAACCGAAATCATTTCATATACGTCATCTCCAGTGAGAATTATATCATCCACATACATAATCAATAAAGCAATCTTCCCATCCTACGAATGTTTGAAGAATATTGTATGATGTTTGAACAAACAGTGTGAATTTCTCAAACCATGCTTTAGGTGACAGCTTCAACACGTAGAAAGACTTTTTTTAGTTTACACACCTTTGTGTCGAACATCCAACTAAATCCTGGAGATGCATTTATACCAGAGTTAACCCAATGCAGTTACAATCAATCATAGTTGAAAGGGGAAATTATCACAAACATGAAACAAACTCACACTAGGGCTTGATCTATGGACTGAGAAGGTTGGCTAGGTGGTTCGAGGGCAGAGTTAAAAGGCTAAAATGGTTTTTGGGTGGTTGGGAAAGCAAAAGAAGGGGCTAGAATTATGTTGCCAGCAAAGCAGAGGGCTAGGACAGCGAAAGATAGCCTTATGCATCCGACAGTGTGGAATTATTATCAATAAGGCTATCTTCCCATCCATAAGCACTTCATCCTCCATGTCCCCATTGAGAAATATATTTTTTATATCCAACTGTAGTAGGGACTTATAGAGTTTAGTTTTGCTACTGACGTGAATGTCTCTAAGTAATTAATTTCGTAGGTCTGAGTGAATCCCTTAGCAACCAGTCGAGTTTTGTACAGTTCTAGAGAGCCATCAAAATTATATTTGACGGTAAACACCCATTACATCCGACGGTGTTGAATTATTCTTAGAAGATTTGATTGAGACAATTTAATTTATTCCCTTCCTATTTTATGTAATTTTATTTTTTATTTCAGAATTATTTATTTTCCTAATTTAGGTAAGATATATTTGGTAAGTTTGTAAATTAAAACGGATTGTTTTCCCTACATATATATACCCTACGGATTAATCCGATTTTTTCCATGGTATCAGAGCTCTGAAAACAAATCCTAACTTCTCCTAACGCTAGAAATCCTCTCTGCCGGCTAGAAATCACATACAGTTTATTTTATGCCGCTGGAAATTATCTGCACTTCGCTTAAGCTTTGCTGGAAATCACCGGCTAAAATTATTTTCTTTGATCCTCCAGACTGCTCTTCCCTGAAATCCCTCTGCCAAAGCCTGACATCCTTCCCTGCAAGCAGCAGAAACTTCCTTCTTGAAGCCGAAAAAAGCTCTGCCAAAGCTGGACCTTTTTCCTGAACGGGAAAATGCTCTGCCAAAGCCGGAAACTTCTCCTTGCAGATAGCGAGAACTTCCACAGCCGGATTTATCTCTGCAGGCCCTTTCTCAGCTCTTACTGCAGTAGAAATTTTCCCTGCTACAGGCCAAGGGCCCCTCTACCGCCAGATTCTCCCTACAGCCGGAAGCGACCTTGCTGCAGGCTCTCCTCGGCAGAACCTTGCTTCAGCAGCAACAGAAGCAGAGACAATAAAAAGAAACGACAGCAACAGCAGAAGCAGGGGCAACAAGCAGGTACAGTCAACTTCAGCACATCAACTAAAAGCAGCCCTAAATACACTTAGAGTTGATGACTAAGTATTGGATGAAGACGTCAAGTTCAATTCCAGAAGTTAATTCTGAATTAGAGAACAGGAATTATGTCCAAAAGACTTCTGAACTCTCGAACTTTATCACAAAACATAAAATCAATGGCCATAAGTACCTTCAATAGACCCAATACTTGTTTATATACATTTATGGCAAAGAGAAAGAGAAACATTTCACGGGAGCAGACATAGTTCCTGAGATCACTGACCCCAACCATCACATATAGAAGAATCAAGATCATATGGTTATATCTTAACTAGTCAGCTCAATAACCACTGAAGTAGGAGAAATTTTTTGCTCTAAAAAATACCAACGAAATTTGAGATGCTGCAAGAGATATATTTTAGCATTGAAAAATATTGCAGAGTCCTTTGAGATCGCAATCAAGTCATGACCTTTATCAAAGAGAGCTAAGTGTCACTCAATACTTCACCACCTTGACAAAGTATTGGATACAATTGAATATGTTTCAGACACGACTGGAAATATCCACATGATGCTGTGATATTTAAATCCCTTATCGAAAAGAAGAGAACCATTAAATTCCTATTGGGACTAACTTAGGAAATACATGAGGTGAGAGTAAGGATCATGAACACAAATTCCCTTCCATAAACCTGTGAAGCCTTTGTTGAAGTCAGGAAAGAAGAGAGTAGAAGAAATCTGATGTCAACTTGAAATGGGGTTGACCAAGTATTGAAAGCTCAGCCCTGTACACACATAACTCCTCACATTACTCAAAGTATAAGAATAATAGTCCCACATATAAGAATAATCGTCCCACATGTGACTATTACAAGAAGATTGGGCATATCAAGGATAAATATTGAAAATTTCATGGAAAGTCTGTAGACTGGAAATCTGGACAAGAAAGGAAAGATCAAGAGAAAAAAGCTAAAGCTGCTACCACATCCAAATGGTCGGTTGGACCATTCGCCAAGGAGCAGCTTGAAGTTATGAAAAAACTTCTTGGAGGTAACTCAGAGCAGCATAACAACCTCATGAAATTTAGAACTTGAATCATAGATATAGGAGCCTCTGATCATATGACCGGAGATATCAATACTATAATCAACTGTCAGGAGGCTGTCCGCCGTCAAATTGGGAAAGTGACATTTGATTTAATATAATATAATATATATAGTTTTGAAATGTAATTGTTTAATTAATATGAGACCGAATCGATCTCATATAGACGATAGTTTAAATAAACGAGCA